ATTTTTTTTAAAAAAAATTCTTAAGCTATTCTCTGCAAACAAAAGCTTAAGCTTCAAGAGCAAAGAAATGAGCTGATATTGTTTGGAGTGTTTGCATTGAATATGGCAGTGATTCTCACTGCTGATGCTGAGATTAAAAGCCAATTACTTGTATTATTACATTTCCAAGTGCCCAAAGAATTCATGTAAGAGGCTTCCTGCTACATCAATGCAGAATACCCTACTCTGTCTTTTTTCTTTCCACCTACCAAGACTTAATGGCACGGGGATTATAGCTGAATTATTATTCTTGCCCCACAATCTGCCACTTGATCTTCTGGCATCTGTCACCTCTCTATGTTTACTCTTCCAGGAAGTATGTCTCACTTACACAAAAACATTGGGGCAGGAAGTTCTTTGTTCTCTCACTGGAATGAAAAGTTCTTCCAATTTTAGTTCAGGGGGAAAACCCACATTGTTCAGTTCACAGACATGTGGGAAGACCGGAATAAGAGTTTATCTGCCAGACTGAATGTGGTGACCGGTGGCCTTGAGCCAAATTTGTGCTCTCAGTCTTGCAAAGCAGCTTAGCCGATTCTTTGTTGAAGTTATTAAGCTCTAGATCAGTATTTCTCAACCTTGGCAGCTTTACAATGTTTGGGTTTTGACTCATAGAATTTCCTAGCCAGCATATGTCAAAGTTACAACAGACAATCCCCCCGCACAAAGGTACTTTTGGTCCAGTGATGGGATTCGAAAATTTTTACTATCGGTTCTGTGGATGTGGCTTGGTGGGCGTGGCAGGGGAAGGATACTGTAAAATCTCCATTTCCTCACAATCAGCTGGGATTCGGGAGGCAGAGAATAGATGGGGGTGGGGCCAGTCAGAGGCGGTATTTACTGGTTCTCTGAACTACTCAAAATTTCCGCTACCAGTTCTCCAGAACTGGTCAGAACCTGCTGAATGCCACCTCTGATTCAGTGTCTTCAAGATTACATCTGCCAGTTCTTTCAGAACCCCGGGGTATAAACCATCTGGTCTAGAGGAATTTGTACAGATGTTATTATAACACAGAGTACCATTTTGAAATTGGTGCTTAAAATCTGAATCCATTTTGTTGATTTTTTTTCATTCCTTTTAATAAATTAAACCTTTTTGGAATTGGTTACGCCATAATTGCAATCCCTTTAGACCAAGAAAATCATCGGTAGTTATATTTTTATTATATAGGTGAAGAAAGTAGAAATGTTTTTTATAAACATATAACCTGCACATCTATAGGAGTGCGAATATTGGCTCCAACATCATCGGCTAATTGTG